TTCGCGAATTTTGATAACATACTATACTATACGTTATTTTGCGATTTTTGATGACATACTATACTGACATTTTTTCGTGATTTTCATCAACATACTATACTATGATGTTTTGTCGTGATTGTTGATGACATACTATACTATGACATTTTTTCATGACTTTCGTTGACATACTATAGTATGATGTTTTGTCGTGATTGTTGATGACATACTATACTATGACATTTTTTCATGACTTTCGTTGACATACTATACTATGACGTTTTTCATGACTTTTGATGACATACTATATACTGTGTCATTTTTTCATGGTTTTCGTCTACATACTATACAATGATGTTTTGTCATGATTTTTGACGACATACTATACTATGACGTTTTGTCATGATTTTTTTTTTTTTAAGATATTTTTTGGGGCTTTTTAGTCTTTAATGTATAGGACAGACAAGCGTGAAGGGAGTGACATGCAGCAAAGGGCCACAGGCTGGAGTCGAACCTGGACCACTGCGACAAGAGCCTTGTACATGGAGAGCCTGCTCTACCACTAAGCCACCGACGCCCCTTTTGTCATGATTTTTGTCGACATACTATATACCATATCATTTTTTCATGGATTTCATCTACATACTATATGATGATGTTTTGTCATGATTTTTGACAACATACTATACTATGACATTTTTTCGCGAATTTTGACAACATACTGTACTATACGTTATTTTGCGATTTTTGATGACATACTATACTATGACATTTTTTCATGACTTTCGTCGACATACTATACTATGATGTTTTGTCATGATTGTTGATGACATACTATATTATGACGTTTTTTCATGATTTTTGATAACATACTATACTATGACATTTTTTCATGATTTTCGTCAACATATTATACTGTGATGTTTTGTCATGATTGTTGATGACATACTATACTATGACATTTTTCATGATTTTTGATGACATACTATACTATGACATTTTTTCATGGTTTTCGTCTACATACTATACGATGATGTTTTGTCGTGATTTTTGACAACATACTATATAACATGTCATTTTTTCATGGTTTTCGTCTACATACTATACGATGATGTTTTGTCGTGATTTTTGACAACATACTATACTATGACGTTTTTTCTTTATTTTTGGCGACATACTATACTATGACATTTTTTCAGGATTTTTGATGACATGTTATATTATATTTTTTCATGATTTTTGACGACATACTATACCATGGAGATTTTTCAGGATTTTTGATGACATGCTATATCATATTTTTTATCGATTTTTTACGACATATTTTTGCAATTTTTGTCGACATACTAAACTATGTTGTTTTTTCATGATTTCTGACGACATACTATACCATGACATTTTGTCTTGATTTTTGTCAACATACAATACTATGATGTTTTGTTCTGATTTTTTACAACATACTATACTATGATGTATTTTCGTGATTGTTGACGACATACTACAATATGACGTTATTTTGCGATTTTTGATGACATACTATACTATGACGTTTTTTCATGATTTTTGGCGTCATACTATACTGTAACATTTTTTCATGATTTTCATCATCATACTATACTATGATGTTTTGTCGTGATTTTTTACAACAGACATATTTTCGAGATCTTTTTTTGGCGACGTACTGTACTATGATGTTTTTTCATGATTTTTGTAGGCATACTATACTATGACTTTTTTCATGATTTTTGACGACATACTATATACTACGACGCTTTTCCGCGAATCTTGACAACATGCTATACTATGACATTATTTCATAATGTTTGACGACATACTATACTTATACATTTTTTCAGGATTATTGAGGACATGCTATATTATGATATTTTTTCATGATTTTGGATGACATACTATTACTATGACGTTGTTACCTAATTTTTTACGACATACTATACGATGACAAATTTTCCCAATTTGTGATGACGTATTTCACGATTTTTGACGACATCCTATACTATGACGTTATTTTGCAATTTTTGATGATATACTATACTATGACGTTTTTTCATGATATTTGGTGACACACTATACTACGACGTTTTTTCATGATATTTGGCGACACACTATACTACAACGTTTTTTCATGATTTTTGACAACATCCTATACTATAGCGTTTTTTCATGATTTTTGTTGACATACTATACTATGACATGTTTTCTTGACTTTTAGCGACATACTATACTATGACATTTTTTCATGATTTTCGTCGACATACTATACAATGACCTTTTATCCTGATTTTTGGCAACATACAACATGACCTTTTTTCATTATTTTTGATGACATACTGTACTATGATGTTTCATGATTTTTGATGACATACTATACCATGACGTATTTTCGCGATTCTTGACAACATTGTGACGTTTTATGATGATGTCTGATGACTTACTATACTATGACATTTTTTCAGAATTTTAGGCAACATACTATACTATGACATTTTTTCAGAATTTTTCATGACATGCTATATTATATTTTTTAATGATTTTTGACGACATACTACACTGTGACGTTATTTTGTGATTTTTGATGGCATACTATAATGACGACTTCTCATGATTTTTGTCGACAGACTATACTATGACATTTTCTCTTGATTTTTGTCGACATGATGTTTTGTTGTGATTTTTTACGACATATTTTCGCAATTTTGGTTGACATACTAAACTATGTTGTTTTTTCATGATTTCTGATGACATACTATACTATGACATTTTTTCATGATTTTCGTCAAAATACTATACTATAATGTTTTGTCGTGATTTTTTACAACATACTATACTATGACGTATTTTTGTGATCTTTGACAACATACATACATTTTGCGATTTTTGATGACATACTGTACTATGACTTTTTTCATGATTTGTGACGACATACTATACTATGAGGTATTTTTGCGAATTTTGGCAACATACTGTACTATGACGTTTATTGACATACTATAATATTACATTTTTTGACGTACTATACCCGGACATTTTCATGATTTGTCACTTTATTGCGTTTCATCAGGTTTCTCTTTTTTTTTTTTTTTACCTCCCTTCCAGGTGTTAACCCCCTGTAGTTGGAGGCATGCTTTCTATCATTGTTGACCAGCAGTTGGTCAACGGCCTGCCTGTCTTGGGTTTCCTCAACCCACGCCTCTAAGCTCTATTTGATGCAAGTCATTACTGTAGTAAAGTCTGTTTTCAGTCACCCCTTAAAGCTTGTTTTTAGACTTGCTTTACGTAGCAGTCTGACCTGCTTCTTTCTGCTGTTCACTGCATTTTAATTGACCTAGATTTCTTTGTGAATCTCTCAAACACTCTTACAGGCAGATTAGCATTAACAGCCATGCCTTAAATTCATGCCTAGATACACAGCAGTGGTGCGTGTTGTTAAACTGGTGGCTATGCATAAAGAACAAAAACATACTTAAAAGATACACACCAGTCCACCTATTAGATGTACACATAGGCCTATTTGAATCCGTTTTTATATACATACAATATGATTAATGTAAGATGTCAATCAAAAATCTATATACCTGATACAATAATTTTACCAGATCAGGAAATTTAGCGTAACATTAAATACAGCTTTGGTTGTAGAAAGAGTGAGATGGCCAAATGTGTTGACTGTTTTGCCATACTACTCTGCAGGGACAAGCTACGTACAAGTTATTTCATTTATTAACAAATAGACTACGTTTGCATGCAATTTTAAAAAATGTTGCTCATCTATTTGAAATAAAATGGGAACACACAGTACATGGCTCAAGGTGAACAGGACCTTTCTGAAAATTTGATTTTACTTTGGTTTGTTGCAGTTTGCTCTGCAGCTTCTAACTAACCAAATGCACTGTCATATGTGGGTGAAAAGTGATTCAGCAATTCTGCCCACCAGCATTGTTGCACTTGTTTTTATCTTTCAACCATGTAAATCCTCAGATCAGATGTATTTTATGTGAGAAAGACTGTTTGTGTTGTGTTCTTCTGTGAGTTTACTAAAGATGGATTTTTAATTGTAAATGATATTTGGTGGTTTGGATTATCTGAATTGTGAAGGCTGATCTGAATGCTTGTGCAAAATAAAATGAAGTGGAAGTAATTGCAGACTTATCCGATAATCACTGAATTGTTTCTTCTTTTTTGTTTTTAAAATGCAAAACTGCCAAACATTTAACAGTTCCTGTTTCTAATAATGAAAATAATTTGAGCTGCAGCCCTAAAATGATATTGGTGTCACAACTGAAGACCTCATTGCAACTACTGACATTTGATATTGCAGCTAGCAAAGTGAAAGCAAAAGTTTTTATTACAATAAAGTCTCAAAATTAATCATTTATTTCCAATGCAAATTTTTTACATTGTTGCTGGAGTCCCTTGTGCCTTTGTGTCATGTCAGACAGAAACAATGTTCAGTGTGTTTAAAACATTGTTAAACAATTAACCAGCTGTGTAAGACACTACTTTCAAGCTGCTCAGTTGAAGTTTTATAATGTATATGCAGTGTGCTGAAAAATAAAATGAACAAATAGACCAGAATTTGTTTCACTTCTTATTCTTGTCCTTTTACATGTTATCAAACAAGGAAATGAAAACTGAAATAATTTATCAGCTATTATTTAACTGCTGAGGCAACCTTAAATATCGATGACACATTCTATCAACATTTAACTGTAAATATGATGCTACATCTACCTTTTAAACACTTTCATTTCATTAGTTAATAAATTGTGAGGTTAATATCAAGAACAGATCCACTGACTTCGTGGGCTCAGATTTGTTTAAAAATGTTACATTCTTGTCTAAAAATATACAATATTTCTGAAAATAAATGAGTCCATATCCCAGTTATGTCACCACAGGTGCTCTCAAAATGACTTACCACTACTATAACACAGCTGAATAACATTTTAAACCTGTTACTTAAGGTTGCATTTAATTGTGAGAGGACAAATGACACTTCTGTGTTGGTAGTGCAAGGGGGAAAAACAGTTTAATCAGTGATCAATATTGAAAATCACATGGCTATTATCTACATGATTCTGATATTACCTTGTACAAAATGAAAATATGCAAAGACCACCCAATCCCCCTCGAAACACACTCACATGAAAGGGAAAAGGAGAGGTAAAACAAACTGTGAAACCCAAGATGAGCTACAGGGACAGTCTTACTACATACATTACCACAGAGCTTATGTCAAACAGTGTACAATATGCACACTTGGGGGAAAGTACAAAATTGAAAAGGTATCATTTCTGAGGATTGATGCAAATTTGACATCTATTGCAAAAACATATTTAACTGGCTGTGTGAAGGTATAAATACATTTTAGGTGTAGATCCATGAATCAACATCTTCACAAGAAGAAAGCATAAATTGTTCCATCCAGGTAGCGCCAAAGGAGGGTAGGAGGCCTGAGGGGGTCGGGGTTCTCATGAGTTCATTGTTCAAACCTCCATAAGTTTATCAAAAAGTCTGAGAAAAGGTCGCTTCTCAAAAGCCTTTCATCTAGAGATGATACAAAGGGGACTTCTTATCTCACAACAAAGCAGGCCACGGGACACAAGTTTGTCTGTCAAGGAGCAGAGATACAGGTTGAGTCCTCCAGTGTATGCTCACATCGTCTTTTCACTGGTTGTTTTTGGCTTTGGCGTGTGTGAGGATGTGAGACTTCAGGTTGGTTGACTGGGCAAATTTTTTGTTGCAGCCGTCAAAGGGGCATACATACGGGCGGTCTCCAGTGTGAATACGCACATGTGTGCGCAGGTTAAAGTCCAGAGAGAACCGCTTGCCACAGCCCTCAAATGTGCACTGCAGACGAGAGAAATGGAGTTAACATTGCTGCATGTCTCAGCCTGGATCACAGATTAACTAATATCATTTCAACTGCTCATATTTAACATGACGCAGCAAGGTTTGCCTATACTTACTCTTACACAAAGTCAGTTTACATTTCTGTATATACATTCAAATTTTAATGTTCCTTCCCCTAATAAAGCAAAGTAAAATTATGCAGCTTTCTCCAGAGGAAGAAAAATAGTGTGAAGGAACTGACCTGGAAAGGTTTCTCTCCTGTGTGTACGAGTTGATGCCTCTTCAGTTTTGAACTTTCTACGAAGGCTTTGCCGCACTCTGCGCATACGTGCACACGGGGCCCGTGGGTATGCAAGTGCTTTCTCATTGCCGAGTTGTCCCTGAACATCTTGGTACATCCCTGTGGAAGAGAGAGACAAGATGAAGCCTATCACTCAGGAAATACAGTGTAGCCGGAGCAACTGAATGTCAGCTCTTCATACCACTGTAATAAACACAAGCATGTCTCAGTTGGGTAAAGCCGATACTAAAGACATAACATACAACTGAGTAAGCATCTGGTCATTTATGTACGTTAACCTTCCTCTTTTGCACAAAAAGGTATAAAGTGGTGTAATAAACAGAACACTTCACTCACTTTGTGTGGACAGGCTATCGTCCTGGGTGCGTCATCTTCTTTCACTTTTCTTGGCTTCATTCTGCAACAGAAATAAAAGTAGTCCCATTATTATAGTACGCCAGAAGAAACTGCAGTATAGTATGTCATAGCAAAGTCATAGAAAGGTCATGTTACAAAACGATTATGGTATAATATACCATAAAAATGTCATTAAAAACAGTCATAGTATAGTAACACATCAAAATGTCATTAAAAGTCGTAGTATAGTATGGCATAAAATTATCATTAAAAAAACTCATAGTCATAGTATGGTAAGGCATCAAATGTCATAAAAAAAATCATAGTATGCTACAAAAAATGCCATAAAAAAAGCACAGTATAAATTAAATGTCATAAAATGGTGGGCATAAAATTTCATCAAAAGTCATAGCATAATATGGCAAAAAAATATAATTTAAAAAAAGTCATAGTATTGTATGGCATAAAAAATATAAAAATTTCATGGTATGGTATGTATCAGTTGTCAAAATATCATTAAAACCCCCATAGTATAAAATGGCATAAAAATATCACTAGAAAAGTCAAATCATAGTATGTCACAAAAATGTCGTAGTATGCTATAAAAATGCCATATAAAATTCACAGTATAGTATAACTTAAACATATCATAAAAATAAGATAAAATAAGCCATTGTTTAGTATGGCATAAAAAATATAGTACAGTTTGACATTAAAAAAAAAAAAAAAAAAAAGTCATAGTATAGTATGTCACACAGAATGTCACATAAAATGTCATAAAAAGTGGTGTAAAAATATCTCAGTATAGCATGGCATAAAAATATTTTAAAAACCATTGTATAGTATGCCAATAAATAAATAAATATATAGATAAATAAATCATAACAAAATCATTAGTATGCCCCATAAAAAAAATCTTTCAAATGGCCTATTATAGTATATAACACTATAGTATCTCATAAATTAGTCATAAAAATGAAGAGTATAGTACAGTACGTTATTTTTCTCAAAGTGCACCCCACAGGCCAATGGTGGCCCTCAAAAACATTTTGTGCAGCCCCTTCACATGACCTGAAATTAATACATTATACTTCTATCATCCATCAATAATTTCACATTCAATAGCTTATATTTAATACACTTCACAGCTACTGCTTCAAACTGCGCCCCACTACCAAATCCATCAGATTAGAAATGACAACTAGTAGCACCCCATGGGTGCAGTTTTCCTCTAGAGCCCTTAATCATATGCTGGCTCAATTAAAACTTTGAGAACCCCTATTACACAGTTTTTACCCAGCCACTGCACTCCTGAAACAGACAAGCACTAAGACATGTTTACTTTAGAAACACAACAAACAAAACTCCTGGTAAAATTTGAATGTTTAATGGACCAGGCCTCCTGTGTATTTACCTACATACTACTTTCAACACAGCACTGCAAATAAACTGAGCAGCTTATGTTGGTTAAAAATATGAATTGCTTTATTTCTTTCACACCCTCAGTTTTTTTTTTTAAAATATGTTCCTTTTAAGTGAGGCAAATGTTTGAAAACTGTTGTCTGAATACTATATTTATCATGGCACAGCCAGCCTACTTACCGTGCAAACTCTGCCAGCTGTTTGGGGTCTGAAAGGTCAATGCCTGGGATGCCTCCTGGAGGAAGCTTCTTCCCTGTCATGTATTCAGAATAATCTGGAGGAGAGTTTTCACCAGTGATTTGCTCCTCGTGGTCAATGTCCTTCTTGTCATCTGAATGTGAGGGACAGATAGATAGGTAGGTGTTGATAAGACAGTAGCAGAACATGTGGAAAGAATTGACTTAAGCTATCTAGAGCGAAACCTTTATTACATCACCTCAGCCTTCAAAGTATTTTGTTCCAGTCTATTACTTATTCACTACTAATGGAAACATATGACAGGAAATACAGACTTTGGCTGGAAGGTGTACATTTACCAAACATATGTTGAAGACATAACCACCAAATATGCTACTGTGCTTTTTAAAATTAACACAGAGGGAAATATGGGATTCAAAAAATTCTATTTCACCTTTTTTAAATGCAGAATGCTAATAGTTAAGCACATGAATGCACACACTTGTCTTAACCTTACATTTTAATTATGTTTGTATTTTAAAAAAAAAGTCATCGTTTCAATATAATGTTTTACATAGCCACTAGATAATTAAAAAAATTGGTATAATGTTATTACTCGTTTGAAATTGTCTTTTCCATGGCTGATGCACAGCACTAGGAAACAGAGAACTACTTTGGAAATAGGATCTAGTTCGCTTGAACCATACAAACATACGTGGTGTGTTTAAAGCCTCGGCAATGTAAATTATGAGGGGTTCCTGAAGGCACCACCAGCACTGCCGTTGAACTGAACTGCGCCACAGCGGCCTAGCGGAGCCAGCTGCACTCGCTCCCACTCTCGCCGCCATCTTCGTCGGCCAAATAAACGCCATTTTTTCGGGCCGCCATACTTTCTAGACCGGGGAAATATGGCGGCGCCCATCGACACATAAAACATGGCTTCCCATAAAAACAAAAACATTTCAAATGGATTTTAAGTGGCTCGGAGTTGGGAAATAGTTCCTACTTTAGCGGAGGACAAGGCCCCAACTGGGCCCTGTCACCGGCCACACACGCTGAGAACAAAGCGAGGGGCCAGCTTGAAAGAATTCACTCAGGACTCTGAACTTACCCGATGCCCACATAGTCACTGAAAACTCCCCCTCCAGAGTCTTTATCTGGACCTGCTTCTGCTCCCATTTCCTGCCCATTTCTCCCCCGCTCAGGTAGCTCTTTTTGCCCGATTTCTTTCCGCTTCCAGCCCTCTTCATCCGGCCTGTCGACGAGCTTTTCCCGGCGACAGTAACCAGAGTCTGTTCGATATAGTCCTCCTCCACGGCGGGTACTGGGATGAGGATTTGGTCCTCAAAGCCATCATCCGTGTGCAGTTCAGAGTCATCCTCACCCACCACCTCTTCTCGTGTTTGCACCAGAATCACCTCTTGGTGCGGGTGAATCGAGTTTGGATCATCCGTGTCAAGAGGCTGTAAGGCGATCATGGGCTGGTGTTCACCGTCGTCTCCAACAACTGTTGTCTCGATTGTCTCTACTTCTATTTCATGCAGCTCCACTATTTCCGCCGGCATTTCTGACCCGTCCGTCTCAATGTACAGGGTGTCCCCCGACGCCATGATCAATGCTGTATTTCCTCCTGCTTATATGCTATATTTTTGCACTCTCTCTTTCCCTCCTGTCTCCACTCAGCCTTCCTCCTCCCTCTCCGACAACAACTCTACACTGCTGTACTCTCGCCGCCACAATGCTCCAGTTTTGAGCATCGCGAGATTTGGACAAAAAAGTCCCGTTCAAATGTAGAACTTTAACATTACCTGCAGCGTCTTATTTCTGCAGACCCTAAATCATGCCTGGAAAGATACTGACATCAATGTTTATATGTAATCATTGATTTATAAGATTTTTTTTTATTTTTATTTTTTTACTTATGGTCGTATTAATCACAACATATAATAATGATTTCAAGTATCATCTCTCACAACTCAAACTAATGTAAAAGCAGCCTTCTTGAACAACTTTTGAGCTTCTGTATTAGTTCCATTTAATATGTAATTGCAAACTGAGGTTACTTAGTTATTATTATTTATTTGTTTATTTGATTAATTGCTTGGTCAATGAAATCTGAAAATCATGATTCCCAAAAGGCCAGGTGACATATTCACATTACCTGTTTTGTCTGACTTGCAATTTATTCATTTATTAATTATAAAAAAATATTCAACAGAAAAAAGCAGCAAATTATGGCATTTCAAAACCTGTAACCAACAAATGTTTATAATTTTTTTTTGCTTGAAAAAACAACACTACTAACACTATTGCACTACTCGAACATTAGCCTACATATCTATCTATCTATCTATCTATCTATCTATCTATCTATCTATCTATCTATCTATTGCTGTGCAGTAATGACTTTGTTTATTATTTTTTTGTATTTTATTTTTTATATTACTTTATTTTACTTAATATTAATTATATTATTATATTCTTTAAC